CATGATCACCTAGATCATCACCTAGAGTTCTGCCCACAACAGAACAGCATTGCTGGCTAAGAGGCTTCATGTGGGTGGGACAACGAATCTGAAACTGAACTGATAGGCAATGAAAGGAGTTCTTAAAAAGTTCAGAAAACACATCCATGAGAACAAAGTTACAGAGGGGAAATAAAAAGAACACCAACTGAAGTTTTTCAAAATACATTTAAACTTGCAGAGCTAATCCCTTGGGATATGATATTAAACTTCTGCAGGTGAACATAGGCTATTTTCCGCACAGAAATAAGCAATGATCATGTTATAATTTAATAGTCAAAAATAGCCATAGTTATAGTCTTCAATAATAAGCTATGAAGTATTGTCTTTATACTTTTCTCTTTCATTGATCAAAGTTAAAAAAGTTCATTCAAAGAGTGTTTTAGAGATCAAAAAATCCACCTTAGACACAGTTAAAAACAGTTTGCCTTGTATAGGTCCTGTAACTGCAAAAAGATCTTGGTATGATAAAGCCACTGATTATAGAATAGAAAGTGTATTGGGTTTACAGCTCAAAGTTCATTGATGTATGTAACGTTTGTATGTTGAGTACAATCAGGGCAACACCTAATAAGTTATAATTAATAGCTTCACTTAGGTAAAGAAAACAAACCATTAGTGAGTTGGATCTATTTTATCTGATTTTGCCAATTACTATATTACGTTCTTCCAATCCAGAAGAATATTAATGGAAAATACGAATGGCTGGGCATGCTTTTGAAGACACAACTAAACAGAAACAGCTCCCAAAATTGGTTATGGGAGTACTAACTGTTGAAATGAGATTAGTTACTATGCCCCCAAAAAAGTACATCTCCGCTGTGTTAAATTGCATAGAGCAGAATAAACATTCCAGAAAGTTCTAATTACCTTAATGCTGAACTTTCATTTAACCATATTTCTGATTCCAATATATCTGCCTTCAAATCCCAGTCCTCTGAATTCTGTCTGTACACAGACAACAAAGAAATCACGTTGCAAGAATCTGCTGGAAGAAAATAAAACAAATTCTTCAGTCTTTTACTGCAAAACACATTCCTCAGACTTCTTATAATTGTTTTCTGAACTCTTCCCACCTTGTTAACATCTGTGCTAAAAAGAGTGGATGCCAGACTTGGACATAGAGTGGCTCGCTTAACGCTTTATTCAGTAGTAAGCATGCTGTTTTTTCCTTGACGCTTTTTGGCACATGCATCCATTTTCAAGGCTACATCCAAGTCCATGGTGAGGGTGGGTGGCCTGGGGCTAGCTAAAGGAAAAAGTTGCATCCTCCAACCCCCCTATTCTCATTTCTGTTTGCTTGAGCAGCTTGAGATTAGCACAAACTGTTTCCCCCAGAGTCGAGGGAGGGAGAGATGGAGAAGTGAGGTTGGATGCACAGAAGTATGTGCTTGGGCTCAGTAGTTAGGCTAAGAACACCTGGGAGCTGTTATACTGACTTCAGCTGTTGGTGAATTACTCCATGCTGCTCTTGGGAGACTGGAAAGGACTTTTTGTGCATTGAGATTACAATTTTCTGTCTCATGGTATTCTGCTGCTCTAGGTAAGTGCTAGCTTTACCTATAACTACTTTGTCTGCTTTTGTCCATACAGCATTTTAACAGCCAATTGCCATTAAATTCTTTATTAAAGATATTAGTGTAAAGGATAAAAGTATAACTTTAGAGGTATAACCTAGCTGTATATTTAAAATGGCATAAGGTGTTTAAGGGTAAAGAATAACAGAGGACTAAGAAAAATACGACTCAGAAAGTATCCAGACTGAGTACACAATACAAGTTAATAGTTATTTTGAGCTGGGAGGGATATGAAGAAAAGGGGATCCCAAGACCTACACCAAAACTGGGGTTAATTTCATATATTTACTACTCACCTGGAAAGCAAGCTTGCAATAGCGGAGACATCCTAATTGGGAAATTATACATGATTGTGTAGAAAAGCCACAACTATAAAAACAAAAAAGAACAAACAAACCAAAACCCTAAAGGAAGGGACTGGACAAGGTGGCAGCTGAAATTTAGTGCAGGTAACTGTGAGGTAACGTGTGTTGAAAGGAATAATTTGAATTATTCATATGCAGAGATGATTTGCAAACTCACTCAAGAAAAAGATCTAGGCGTTGCTGTGGACAGCTTAATGGAAACTTCTACTCAGTGTGCAGTAGCGGTCAAAGAAGCAAACAAAATGTCAGGCTATATTAAAGATGGGTTAGAGACTAATACTAGAAATAATAACAAGACTATCAAATACATCAATAAAGTGTTCTTCCTTGTAAGATTAGATTATTTAGCTTTCATTATCTGAAAAGAAACAGGCATCCCCTGGAAAAGGGAATTAAAAGGGATTTGGGGCACTTCTATAAAGTGAAAGATTTTTAGAGGCTGTCAGAATCATCACGGCCTTCAAAGTCAAAATACTTTCTCTAAACAACTTCTCTGCTCATCAGTTTGTAAACAAGGATAGCAGAAGCCACTGACCTTTGCTATATCTACTGAGATGAATGGATGAAAAGTGGCATACAGACTGTGGATGACCTGCTTTTGAGCACACAGCCTGAATGTCATTTCCCTGCTTCTCCAGAGAAAAGAGGAAAGGGTCAGTTCCTTACCGAACCTCTTCTCTGCTCTCCCTGGAGCCCAATCTGCAGGGCCTAATCCAGCACCACATTTTATACAGCTTAGGCTCAGCTGATGCCTATACTAAGCACCTTTTATTCATTCTGTACCTACTTCTCAAATCCAGTTTAGCACCCTAACTTGAGATCTTTCCTCCTTTAATTCTTTCCTTCCCATTGTTCTCCTGCACTTACATATCTGAACTATCCTCTGCTGCTTCCGCAATCTCACACCAGTTACCCCACTGCTCCAAACATGGCCTTTTAACCCACTTTCCCCTCACAGCAGGCACAGCTCACCAGCTTAGTTCCTTCAGTGTCTGCTGTCAGGATTATCAGCACTGTTGGATATGCATTAATTTGCCTCCCCTGCAGTACCTGCACAGCAGCCCACTTCCCCATGTTCTGCAGACCACCAAGAAGTGCATGATGATGTTGACATTATCAATTACTATCTATGGTAAATGACAAAGAATGAAATCAGAGCTTAATTTATCACAGAGGACCCCTTCTCTCCCTCCCTCGCCTTAGAGTTATAGCATGCATCAGTGCATATAGTGCTTAGGTATTAAGGCAGAAGGTTTCTCTCCTAATCATTTGACATACTAGATTCAAAGCTGTCCTGTGGATTATGGACAATGATATACACCAAACTCTGTGGTTCCTAGGGTAAAGTGCTTGCTATAAATAGATGTCAGATTTGTAAATTTAACATTGTTTAGTCTGAGGGTAAGTGAGGAAAAAGGGAAACTCATTTTCTCAGCAGTGGGAGGGTGTGGAGTGTTGTTTTCTGCTGGGGAGTTTTATTTTTATTACTAAACTCTTGAGATGTCAGAGCCTAGAGATGTCACAAGGTCCTTTTGCTGTTCTGGGCTGTGAAACCAGAAGGGGAAAACATGAACTGATGCAGTTTCATATAACTTACGAATGTGTTTAGCATTTCTGTGACAGTGAAGGCAGAAAATTTAACTGTTTCCTTTGTGAACTTTATTTTGTTTGTCTGGAATTTTGCTCTGTTCCAGCAGAACTGGCAGCAGCCTTGTCCGGAGCAGGACATTTTCCCATATAAGCAAAATAAATCCTAATTACAATAAAAACAGGAGAAAAAAAAAAAGAAAATTTAAAGTTGTGCTGTAAAATGGCATTATTACCTCTTTAACAGGAAGCATATGGAATAGTAGCGTGCACATAGGTCTGAGAGCCAGGAATAAATCAGTGCTAGTCTAGACATGCTGATTCCAGCTGTGGTCCTGAAACAAGCTGTTAGGGCTAGAATTTGATTAAGTCTAATACCCATCTGGAGATGATGATGAATGAAGGCAGAATAGCACTGTCCTATCAGAGTTGTGCTAGAGGTACTTAGATGATTGCTAGGACACAGGCAGGAGAGCAAGAGTTACCCATTGTATTCCCTCTAACAGTGACTGAATCCACAGCCAGTATAAGAAATCAGTGTGGCACATCCTATGGAATAGTGTCTTATCACATTGCCACATTCTCTCCAGGACAGAAAAAGGAGGAGAGGAAATGTCTTTACCCAGTCCAGTTTTCCACTTCTTAGTATGTCCTTCACTCAGGATTTTGTCTGTGCTTTTTCCCCCAGTGTGGCTATAACACTTCATTAACTAATATTTATAAGAACCCAGGAAGATGGAAAGCCTACATGTTATCTATTTAGGGTAATTACCTCACAAAAAAACATAAATAAATGTTGACCAGTGATGTAATTACAGACAGCAAAGAACTAGCAGTCTTACAAACCCTCACCAAAATAACTCCTCTCTCCTGCCTCCACTCCTGAAAACAATGAATCTGTCTGAAGTGGTCTAATATGAATATTTGCACCTCCTTTACTATTATCTTATTTTCACACAGCAAAAGCATCCTAGCTTGTGTCTGTTTGCTTTTGCTTGATTTCTGCCACCTTCAGACAAAACTCTTCCTCCAACTACACAGACTTTATTCACCAAAGAAAAAACTCCCAAAGCCCTTGCAGACCTTATGAAAGGCGTTTTCACTCACTTGGGTTAAATGAGCACTGTGTGTTTTCTTTCTCCTTTTTTGGGGGGGGGGGGGGTGGGGGGTGGGGGAGGGAGGTGAAAAGCAATAAATGAATCATTTCAACTTCGGGCGAGAAGTTTAGGTGTTGTATTTATACCATGCAACTACATAAACACAGAATCAGCCAGTTAACCAATGAACTGCAGGAATGAGAAGCAATGAGATGATCTAAAACATTTTAACACATTTTCCATATATTAGCCCTTGGACTAGTTGTGTTTTGCTTTCTTAAAACAGACACAAGTCAGTAAGCGTCCAGAAGGAAAGTCTGAGGTTTTACATTTCTGTTTGTGGTACAGGAAAAGGGTTACGATCTCAGTGGTTGATTCAGTGAAATAACATCTCTTTTATACACATCTGCCTAGCAAGTAGGGCGGTAGTTGGAAATACCCAATCTAAAGTATTAAAGATTTGCTGGCAAATAGCAAGGCATTTTCTGCAAAGGAAAAGTTATACTGAGTAGTCACTTTGAATGCTTAGGAGTTACAGTCAAATATCCAAACACTGTGGAGTTACACTGCATATATTATTTTGTCAAGTATTTAACACACTGGGAATTGACTGCTGCACAGTTCATAACCAAGAAGGCATGATAACAGTGGACTTTTAAGAAGAGACTTGGCAAAGGTAAGTTATATTTTTATAGCAAATTATTCAGGCATCATGCAGTTATCTTTTTTTACATGTCAGCATGTATAATTTTCAACTGTTTTAAATTAAGAATTTAAGAGAAGAGTAAACAAATGAGAGGTAAACCAGAGGTGTTTCACAAACTATGTTTTTGTCTATTTACTGTCATCACTGTTTTGTTTTTAAGTGATATGAGAAATTTGAAGTAACAATCAGCATTATGACTTAACACAAAGATGCTTTGCATGGACATACCTTAATTTAGGACACTTTCATTTCACTGCACATTTGTCCTATTTCTACTGGCACATATAAAAGCCAAGTCTTTTGTGAGTTTGTAGCTTTCTTCAGTTTTGGAGGCCTCTGTAAACCTGCAATATTAGAATAGGCAGAAAAGAAACAAAATCACAAATCAAATGATTCATTACTCAAAACAATTTTAAATCAACATAATCTCTCTGACTGGCAGTTAATTTTCATAAATAAGAACTATTAATTAATTTCAAAATGAGATGAAAAGGAGAGGGGATATGGGCTTATTGCTATTCTTTTTAAGTTAAGCCCATTGTTTTTCCAGAATTGTTTATACTCTTTGTACTCATTTCAACTCTGCTATGTAACTGCATGGTTTATTCTTTAAATATTTTATTTTTCTTTCAAGAAGCAATGCAGAAAAATGCATTTCTCCATGAGAACTGGATAGGGGTAGTAATCCTCTGAAAACACATAGATATTTCCAAACTATTTTAAAATTAAACATTAATATGATTATCCACTACAGTTTCAGAGCATAGTTCTAACCAAGACATCCAAATGCAATATTTACTTGAATCTCTGTATGAACTAGCCTATACAGGAAATCAGTAAATTGCTCCAGAGTCTCAGCCTCAAAGGGGATACGTATTTGTTTAGTCATACACTATAAATAACTTCTGTAGACTCGAAGCCTTGCCAGCATTATTAGTGCAGTGTTCACTTAAAAGTACCCTTTATTATGAGCCTCATTAGTAACTGATTTATACAGTATGAGCCTACAGGAAAAACATGCAGGCAAGCATAGCACACATATATTGATGTTGTATTATCCATATTGCCAGTGTAACCTCTGTTGTGGTGCTAGTATGCTCCGAGTTGGGCAGCCCCTTGGGAGACACAGAAGAGGGGTCCTGGAGCACCTTTTGTTGCTCCTCTGCAGGGGGATTGCTGTCAGGGTGGAGGTGGGAACAACACACTCCTCTCTTCCCCCAGTGTACCAGTCTGTGTCTGTGAACTGCTGACATAAAGCTGGGGGGTTGCCAAATTGCTGCAATTTATGCTGAAGGACTGACCCAACAGATGATGGCCTCTTCATCACTTTTATAGCTCTTTGCTATTAGAGAGCACTGGTGATGTGATCTGCTGCTGTTATTTGCCTAGTGCTGTTATAATATTTATGCTGTCTATATTACAGTATGACACACACTGTACACTATAAAATAACTTGCATGCTTTATCATATGGAATAAACTTTGTATGCAATGGATTCTGCATAATACAAGATAGTTTGGGGTAAAATATCATTACTTGACATCAGCAAATTCTTACTCTTTTCCACGAGTAGCTGTTAATTATTTCGTTTATTGTCCCATTAAAAAAAATCCAAAACAAAACAAACAACAAACATTTAATTATCTTATAACATTTTTCATCAAGAGTAATCCCCATCCCATGCATCCAAGAAAAAATGTGACAGCCACAACCAATTTTCATTGATGAGGACAAGGATTCAGAAGTGATGGAAGGTAAGCCTATCCACAGTCAGAACAGCAGGTCACTATCAGAGCTGGAAGCAGATCTCCACACTCAGTACAGTGTTCTGCCAAAAAATGAGCTGTGCCTGACTGTTACTGCTTTATAGTGAGTGGTTTGTATTAGATGTGGTTGGTAAGGTTCAGTTATATGTAACCCAAGATTAATGCTGAGCTTAAACTGACATTGTCAAAATCTGAACTTTTTGCTATGCTCATTTTATAAATTTGAGTCCAGAAATACCAAAAAAATACTTAAAAAATCCCCAGCTTTAAAACTCTGTCCTTGTATGTGTTCCCCAAAAGCATAGGTACTCTTACCTCCTGAATGTGTGAGTGAAGTCTACTAAGATTCATTTCCATGAATTAAAAGACAAAGTTTATAGTAATTTTAAAAGATATTGAAGAAAAAGGAAAGAAAAGGAAAAAGGAAAACCTGGGTTATGTTGGTGGTTCCATGGTTGTCTTAGAACATGATTTTGGACAACCGCTTGGGACTTAAATTCCAAAAGAGACTGTTTCTTTTCAGAAATCCAAAGGCGATAATATTAATTCTTCTACAGAACCTAGTAGAAATTTGACCTCCCTGAGCACATGTCTGCTCCCATGTCAGTGGCTACTCCCAGGACCAAGCTTATGGGAATACATGGCATCGTGAGATCCTCAACGTGCTCTTTTAAACATTCACAGACATACTAGCTTTTTGTGCATGTCCAGACAGCCTTTTCCAGATAGTCAGTTCACAAGACAGCCATGTCTCTGGAGGCAATCTATCACACAATTGAATCATGTAGCTGCTCATTCCCTCCTTCAGCTGCAAAATGAGTATAATACCTGCCATCTGAGTAACACCAATTTCTTATGGATGAAGGTATTTGTCCTGGTTTCAGCATGACAGTATACCTTCCACTCCCTGATGCTATGGAGCTTAATTACTTACTATCTGGTAGCCCTGGACTACAGACACTGTGGACCTAACAGTTATTTTAGCCAACATTTAAATTGAGGTCATCACAAAAAAAACAAAGCAACCAAATATTAGCCCATGAAATAAAGCTCTTTGGTGCTTCCCGCTCCATGGTCTCCCTTCCTTATCTTCAGAAAGGGTGCTAAAGTAGTGCCAAGCAGTAATAGTCAAGCTTTTTTTGACAAACACAGAAATAAAGCAAATGATTACCAGGACACAGCAATGTTTAAAAGAAATGGTAACTAACCTGTGTAACAACCTGTCTGAGGGTGTAGCAAGTTTTCAAGATTAGTGGAATAATGCATTTACATTCAGATTTAGTGCTTGTTTTAAAACACATGCTTCAGCTGGGGCCATCAGTACAGGAATTAGAGGTTAATTTTGTCTTTGAAGGTCACTTAGACTAGCTAATTACAACTACTTCTGGACTTGAAACCAGCGGTTCTTTAGAAAAAACAAAACCCAAGAGCGGGAATCCTCTCAGGATCAGGACCCTCTCAGTCACTAGCTCCAAGCTATTTAACATCAGGTACTGCTCAGAAGTTGCAGGTTGATTTCAAAACATGGAGGAAAAGTCATCTCTAAAGACACTAGATCCTAGACTGTTTAGGATGCTACAGCTGACTCCAGCACCTATTCACATCTATGAGAGTGTCATCAGATCTCATGAAGCACCAAAAACATTTTCAGTTTGTGTCTTACCAGGGGCTATTTATGTGACAGATAATACCGTTTCACTTACGAGAAGTTTATAAAATAATCTAGTCACATCTTGCTGTCAAAAATAATGTGCCAACACACACGTGGTGTGCATTCCAACTAAAGTTGGTGTTTAAAAGATATAGTTTGCAGAAGTTAAGAGAGCTGCCATCACAGCTTTGTACTGCTGTCTTCAACACCATAAATAAAACTATCCACTTGGCTTCATTCCAGCTGTCACAGCCTTAGAGATAAAGTAAAGCAGCATGAATGTGAAAGGTCCTCAAGACTTCCTTAGTTCAGTTAAGCAACAGCCTGTATTGAGTAGCTTTGCCTCTGCTGGCACTAGGAATGACAAATAATCAGAATTAGCTGCTGCTAAAGCCTTGCAAGTTAAAATGACAACTGTACTTACAATGTGGTAAAGTCATCTTATTCAGGCACAGACATCCAAAAGAAGAGACTGCATAATTCATCAATCACTGGCAGTACTATTTAAAAATAAACAAGCAAACAAAACCACCCAACCAAACCCCAAACCCAAAAACTCCACAACAACACCCTCAAAAAAAAAAAACAAAAAAACCAACCCCAAACGAAACCAAAACCGCACTCAAACCATCAAGTCCAGCAAAGCCAGACAGGACTATGCATGCTATCTATGAAATACTAAAGGATGGCCGCTGGCCATCATATTTGAGAAATCATGGCAGTCAGGTGAAGTTCCCAATGACTGGAAAAAGGGAAATATAACCCCCATTTTCAAGAGGGGGAAAATGGATGACCTGGGGAATTACAGAGCAGTCAGTCTCACCTCTGTGCCTGGCAACATCTTGGAGCAGATTCTCCTGGAAGGCATGCTAAGGCACATGAAAAACAACAAGGTGCTTGGTGACAGCCAGCATGGCTTCACTAAGGGGAAATCCTGCCTGACCAATTTGGTGGCCTTCTATGATGGGGCTACAGAACTGATGGATAGAGGTAGAGCAGTTGATGTCATCTACCTGCACTTGTGCAAAGTGTTCGACACTGTCCCACACGACATCCTTGTCTCTAAATTGGAGAGACATCAATTTGATGGATGGACCACTCGGTGGATAAAGAACTGGCTGGATGGCCACACCCAAAGAGTTGTGGTCAATGCTCAATGTCCAGCTGGAGACCAGTAACGAGTGGCGTCCCTCAGGGATCGGTGTTGGGACCGGTCTTGTTCAACATCTTTGTCGCTGACACGGACAGTGGAATTGAGTGCGCCCTCAGCAAGTTTGCCGATGACACCAAGCTGTGTGGTTCGGTTGATACCCTGGAGGGAAGGAATGCCATCCAGAGGGACCTCGACACGCTTGTGAGGTGGGCTGATGCCAACCTCATGAAGTTTAACCATGCCAAGTGCAAGGTCCTACACCTGGGTGGGAGCAATCCCAGGCACAGCTACAGGTTGGGCAGAGAAGAGATTCAGAGCAGCCCTGCGGAGAAGGACTTGGGGGTGTTGGTTGATGAGAAAATGAACATGAGCCGGCTTCAGTGTGAGCTTGCAGCCCAGAAAGCCAACCGTATCCTGGGCTGCATCAAAAGGAGCGTGACAGCAGGTCGAAGGAGGTGATCCTGCCCCTCTACTCTGCTCTTGTGAGACCTCACCTGGAGTATTGTGTGCAGTTCTGGTGTCCTCAACATAGAAAGGACATGGAACTGTTGAAATAAGTCCAGAGAAGGGCCACAAGGATGATCAGGGGACTGGAGCACCTCCCGTATGAAGACAGGCTGAGGAAGTTGGGGCTGTTCAGCCTGGAGAAGAGAAGGCTGCGTGGAGACCTCATAGCAGCCTTCCAGTATCTGAAGGGGGCCTATAGGGATGCTGGGGAGGGACTCTTCATTAGGGACTGTAGTGACAGGACAAGGGGTAACGGGTTAAAACTTAAACAGGGGAAGTTTAGGTTGGATATAAGAAGGAAATTCTTTCCTGTTAGGGTGGTGAGGCACTGGAATGGGTTGCCCAGGGAGGTTGTGAATGCTCCATCTCTGGCAGTGTTCAAGGCCAGGTTGGACGAGGCCTTGGATGATATGATTTAGCATAAGGTGTCCCTGCCCACGGCAGGGAGTTGGAACTAGATGATCTTAAGGTCCTTTCCAACCCTAACTATTCTATGATTCTATGATTCTACAACAGACCCCCGAGTTCAGTAAGACCAAGATCAGGCTTCTGTAGAAAGTGGTGCCTGTACCAGATTGTAAAATACTGAGCTAATTCTGCCACTGGTACTCAGATGGACTAGACACATTCACCTCTTTAGTACTGCCATTCATTCATATCTGGCTGTTCAAGGAGTAAAGGAGGAGGCAGTAGCAAAGAATATGACAGAATCCAACACAGACTCACAATGAAATGTAAAACCAGACAGGTCCATATGCACCTTTTATACTCAACTCATGAAAAATACAGAGAAAATTTTCATATGATATTTTTATGCAGAGTAAGTTCAATCATAATTTTGGCAATTGATATTTCTCCTTTCATTCAACCTAAAGGGCCCCTTATGTCAGCCTACAGTTCAAGGGAACATAAACCAAAAGGAATGCAAAGTCAGATGAAAAAGGAACAGTATGTGACTGGAAATGTGTAGAGAAGAGGTAAAGTCATAACTTTTTAAAATATTTGTTTTAAATTAGAATGACACCATACAGGGAAGCTCACATAATGTTTTTACTACTCTGGTGCACAGTTATAAACTGTGTATTGGTCAATGGCTTTTAAGAAAATGATGGACCTTTTCTTCAGTACCAGATATTTAGCAGCTTCATAGCTGACATAAATGTTCTGTCATGTTCCTCTAAACCCAAGATAATCTCTTACGTGTAGTCTATATACCCAGTACTAAAATAATAAAATAGCAAACACAACCCACAACACTGTTAAAAGGGTTCAATACTTTCTGCACCTCATACGCTGCACCATGGCTACAGTCAACGCTCCTCACATTTATAGAGCTGTCATTTTTCGATCCCATGCTCTGAACACAATATTTATGTAGATGACATGGTCCACTTTTTCTGCAAACAAAGAATTGCACATATACAGTAACATATTCTTCACAGAGTTCTAGAATGTGCTCTCAAGATGAGGTAAATATACTTTTTGATGGATGGACACTCAGTGTTAGACCCTCTTCCATGGAAGTATGTGAACAATATTTTACAGCTTATCTCTAAGGCATTGCAACAAATAAGGACACCAGAATAAGGTGTGAGTGCATGTCATGCAACACATGTTTTTGGAAAGATAAGGTCTAGGAACTCTTATAAACTCACAGGAAAGCAATTCACTGGAAAACAGTCTAGAATGCTGTAGAGTGGGACACTATTATGAAAGAGTCAGGTAATAAAGTTCACAAAAGGAAGTGGATTTTAAAAAATGGATCTGAAGAAGGAGATCCAACCATATGAAAGCTGAAGCAAAAGAAGAAAAGGTAAATGCATGTAGAAGATAGAAGATGATGTCAGTACAGAGGTCAATGAGAGAAGGATTCGATAGAGACTTGAATATCAGGATATTTTTCCTAGTTGTTGTACTAGGAACAAATCTTGGAGGCAATGAATTTAAAACAATTAAAAGGAAGTACATTTTTAGGTAACACATGAAACTCATTGCCTCTGGATGCTCTTGAAATCAAAATCTTAATGGGAGCCAGAAATGGATAAATTACAGTTGCATTACACAGGATTCATTTCATCTTTAGAAGAAAAAAAAGGGTCTTTGTGCTTCCTGGCAAAAGTTAGGTACTAAGTGGTGAAAGGATTTAGAAAGTGATTTATCTAATTTGACATAATGCAATACTTATCCATTATGAGGCAGCTGTAGCTTCTGCTAAAACAAGGCTACCCAATCATAATGTAAAAACCTCCAACAATATTGGAATACGTACAAAACCTCAGAGTGCCAGCCTACTGTTACCAACAAGGTACTCAGAAGAAAATCTTCCTGAAAGCAAGCTCTCTACTACCTCTCTCATTTTTTACAAGGTAATCCTTTTGAAGCATTTGCTATTAGCAAGAAGGAGAAGGATACTGGATTAACTGTGCTCATAGGGTGACTCAACATGCCATGTTGCTGTTTTGACGGAAGGGCAGAGTGAAAGTTGCAAAACCCAAGGCAGTGACGACTAATCCAGTCCTGGCTTAGAAGCAACGAGGAGATGGATTGTCCTGTGCGACATAACTGTTGTCTGGAATATGGCAAAATGTGAAATTTGTGACTGAGTTTAAGTCAAAAGTAATTAAACAGCTTGCTGAGTAATGTAAGGAAAGGACAAAAACTAGAACACTCCAAACTATTGGCTTGCTTTCCTATTAACACAAGTAATATTCAGAGCTGGGTGGAGATCAAGACCGAGGCTAAGTGCCATCATTACTTCGGTTTGCTTTGCCCAGTACTAATGTTCTGTTTAAATTTATATGCTCCTTTTTGGAAAAGGTTATCACCAGTAGCAACAGGCAAAATATTTAGTACTGAATAGCCTGCATATTTGTCCACTAGAATCCTAACCTTTGGATATGGAAAATAATTTGGGGAAAAGAAGGATCAGCTCCTGTATCTGTTATGGTTCCAGACACATCCTGGTTTTAGTCAGACAAAAAAGAGCAACTGTCATAAAGAATAAATTCAGTGGCTCCTCTATTTCCTTCTCCCACCTCCAATAGGCGCTAACTCCAGACATCAGAAAAGTTACTCCATTTTATGGTAACTAGTACCTTATCCCATGGCAGAAGTATCACTCTACCTGTGAACAGTACTGTTTGACTTTTATTCTGAAGCAAGAGTTGCTGCCCCTTCTGCATATTATTCCCTTTAACTACAGATATTATTTCCATCAACTCACATCTTTGGGTGAAATCTCTGTCCTACTGAAATCAAAGGCAAAACAGCTAACTTCAAAGTGCCCATGATTTCTGCTATATTCTTGTTCCACATATTAATTCTGCTCTAGGTTTTAAGTACTTCCTTTTATTTGTTTGAACTCTCTTCATTTTACTGCATTCTTATTTTCCCATCCCTTACATGAGAAGGCAGTAAAGAAACGCATCTGATTTTCCTTATAGTACCTAATATCTCATAAACCTTTATCTGTACAGCTCCTTTCTATAAAGGAGAGTCCACATAATTTCAATCTTCTAATACAAAATTCCAGCCTCTGATCAGTGTTTATTGCCCTTTTCCTGGTACAACACCTTACAGCAAGGTAGTGAAGATTGACCACAGTATCCAATATCAAAGCATACCGTTAACGCAACATGGCAGGCACAGCAGAGGTTCTCTCTCTCCTTTTCCTTGTGGCTTCTAAACCCCTGCTTTTCTGTTCACCACTGGGCACTGAACAATTACTGTACAGAGACGATGGAAAAAACTGCAAAAGGTTAGAGTGAAACAACATGAAAAATCTGCCCCTCCTTGTGATATTTATGTTTCTGCTGCTAGCCCTGGCTGAGGTCCAGATTCTGAATGAACAAAACTCCCAGTGGCTTAGGCACTACAGTATTCAGCCCACAGTCAGGAAACGCAATAGCATGTGACAATGGGAAGAAAAAAAAAAAAAAGTAAAAAAGCTTTCCAACGCTTTTGAGCTTCCAGCTCAATCAGTTTGGATCAAAACTCAGGACTGTTGAGATTTTGTGTGAATGAGTTCTCTATTGCTAAACAAAAACATGTGTGTGCTACAGTGTAAGACAGTTAAGTGGTAAACAGTATGTGGCTTTGCTTCCTCATTGATATTTCATTTGTAAGGTACTAGCACTATAAAACCTCATTTTATGTACAAGGCCACTGTTGTCTCTATTCAAACACAGTAAAGAATTCTTTCCCAAAACACAAAGTCATCTCCTTACTTCTCCTCCTTTCCAGAAAAGCTACCTGATAACTGTTGTTCGCTACTCAGTGTCTTGTTCCTTCTACAAGATTAGAATTTAAAGGAGTTGTGTAATGCTCCATGTTTATTGTCATCCAGTGATCCAGGCTAAAACTCTGTTCTTTATGACAGTTTTCCTTTGGGGAACTAATATCCTGAGAACTTGATTGTTGGGATAACAGTGGCAAATTCTCTTCTTTTTGTAAAAACTTAAAATATAAATTAGCCAATTTTTTTCAGGACAGAGTGTTTCAGGGCTCCTGTAGACACTGGGCAGAACAGAGATTTCATCTTCACTTTTTCTCCCAGGATGTACATCATTCTCATGGGGCTGATGCTTGTATTCACAGTCCATGTTTTATCTACAAGTCACAGGACCACTAAATATGAGATCATATCAGTGCAATATTTTAAACATATTTTATAATTTCTCTCTCTCTTTTGCAAATTTAGTGTTAGTCCAACTGATCCAGGACCTTCAAGCCACAGAACACATAAGGCAGGAGGTGTCTAAGCACTTTCCTCTTGACCATTTCCATGACCAGATAGGGCTAGGTGTAAAATTCAGGTTTCTGTTTACATTTTCCTGAAAAGTATAGTATTTCTAGTTTGTGAGGACATTCCAAAGGAGACTCACTATTTCAGTAAACTCTTTCAGAGACAATTGTTTCTTTTATGGATCTTTTTTAATTTGAGGGTAACAATCTCACTAAGTACCTTATCACATAAATTCATTGAGAGAAAGTAGATTTCTGCAGCAAGATTTTATTTGTCAGTGTGAGCAGAACTCAAGATTGACAACTGGGGACTGACTAGGGACATGGCGGAAAGGTGGCTGCCTGCTTCCACAACTGATGGTTGCTGCAACTCAAGTAGTGCTTCATTAGGGGAGCTGCCACAGCAGTAGAAGAGACTGTGAACCATTTACTTTATAGCGAATGAAAAGTGTAATTGAGGCAATTTGGAATCTGTGAAATAGTTCTTATTTCCTGGATGCTCTATGGAAAAAAAAACCCCAATATTCTGAGTCCTTGATCAGGTTGGATCATAGAGCTGCAGTCTAGCCCGTAAAGAGGAGGACTGGTAGGTTTAAAGGTCCATGCCACTTCATGGTGAACAATACAAGGGCTTGGCATTCAAAAGTGACTCCTGCTTTGTTTTGCTACTGGAGCAGAAGTGGTCTATGAAATTCTTACTAGCTTAAAATATCTGCTAAATATTACAAGAAACATGCTTGCCACCTCAGCCTCCAGCAGGATATCCTGCACTTGATTAGCACAGATTCTGGCTGCCCCCCTATCCTTCCCCCAAGTAGGTTTCACATGCCAGAACCCCATCAATCGTAGGATCGGTGAGCAATGGGTAAAATCAAATGACACAACCTCCTTAAATGGTCTTTTCTTCTCTGGGTAGCTGGGACCCTGCTGGAAACAGTTTCCCCAATACTGCATCCCATTGCTTTTGTTTATCTATCCTTGCTGACATTTTCTTCAATTAGGAAACAATAGCTCCGTTCCAATGTACTGAGCAGAATTACTGAAACCAAGTCACGTGGCACCACAAGAGTGTGTTTTCAATTATTCACTCTGTCTTTTTTTGCCAGGCCTATGAAGAGGAACAGCCTTCTGCAGGAGTCAGGTTTGTCTGCCTCGCTGTTGTAAGTTCCTCCTTTTGAATTTTTATTTTAGGATTAGGTATTTTTTAATTTCTCTTTTTTTTTTAAATTTATTTTTTAACAGTAAATTCAACTCCCCAAGAGCTCCTTACTCTTTATCAGAAAACTTCCAAATCTCTAGCCCTTCCTACTGCCTGGAAATCCTAGACATCTGCAATAATTCAGTGCTAATAGTACTGTTCAGTAATGAATCTGACAAAGATCATAAGATATAGATTAAAGTGGGACATAAGATATCATGCTGTTAGCACTTGGTAATGTAAAACTCATCTAGTTCTTGCTAGTCAATACAAGTTCTATCTTTCCTACTGTCTGGTTAACGGCATTCAGTCTGGGAGCTACACCAAAGTATTTGCATCTTGTAAATGCTTGGTTCAACATCCAACCAAAAATTTAAACCAAATGGGCACAGATCAAATCATGTATTTTGTTTGCAGAAGACAGACTGAGTTAGGGCTTTTTAGACTTAAAGCTGGAAAAATAAAGCTTGGGGAAAAAATAATAATAAAAAAAAAAAAACAGAGAAGGAACATTTGGTTTGCATTACAAACCACAGACAACTTCCATCAGGCATGCTGGAGGTATAAGAATGGCAAAAGAAAATGACAAGCAGTGAGTGCACTGGAGAAAAAGATGAATGTTTTGGAGAACTGACTTTGAAGTAATTGTCCGTGCCATCGATACCTTGAATTAAATTTGGTGGAAGATGGAAATGAATCATAAAGCTTCTCTGGCACTTGCAATATTGTTTTCTGTATAATATAACATTTCTGGATATTTTTATTGGAAAACTTATAGACTATGTTTTTGGTACCTCCTATATTTCTTCCACTTATGCAATCCTGAATCAGCAGCTCTGGAAAGGATGTTGCCTTATTTGAGACTTAGGCTGTGAACTAATACTTCAGAGCAAGAACAAGTATTTAACTGGAAGCCTTCAGGTCTACTGCGTTTATTTTCACCTCAGCCACTGCCTTGCTTTAAGATATTAGGTAAGTCATTCAGGGTTAAACTCGGTCTTTGAGCTGATGGAGCTCTGTTGGGGGTGGAGGAAACAGTTGATGCAGCAGGGCAAGAGAGACATTCTCTCTGCACGAGGTAAAATTCCGCAAGAGCATTGCATGGGGGTGGGATGGCAGAATGCACTTAAAGCAATGTTTCCTTCACTGTTTCAACAGGTGCTTATATGTGTTCCCTGCATCCCAGATACTTAGCATAGTCAGAGAGGCATCCCTTGGAGTATTTAGTACTGATGGCAGTGCTCCCTGTTTAAGCTCAGCAGCTTTAGGAGAGCAAGAAAGGACTACTGCATCTCTCCATCCTTCATTCTAGCATGCTGGTCTCCAGAGAGCTGTATTTTGACCATTAAGCTATCAAGTCTTCTGCTTACCCATGTGCTTAATAGCTGTTTTCTAATTCTTTCTCTTTGGGGAAATAAGAGCAGTTAATGCTTGTACATCATTGAAATCCTTGAATGAAAAGCGCTTTTTCTTATAATTTACCCCTGTAGGCAAGTTTGTTTAGGTCTGAATGTGCAGCTTGGACTCATTTCTGATGTTCTTATTGCTAGTGTCTAATAGCAATCACCAGAATCACAGAAACAGTGCTGATTCCTATTGCAGATTTTCAAGGGATATGTATTCCAGACACCTTTAGCAAGCACCTTGTTTTTTTTTTCCACCCAGGTTGCTGGGGATAGGTACTTTCAGAAGTTTTCCTCACCCTAGCCATCCTATTGCTTTTTGAACTCCACATTCTGGACTAAGGGGCCAGATTGCATTTTTACCTACCTTCAAACATACATGAAAAACAATATCAAGCTGTGCAAGATGAATTTCCTAATTCACTGGGGACATTAACAGGGTTTTCCCAACACAAAAATTGCAATTAGGTACATACATATAAAAGACAAAGCTCTAGGCCTACCAAAACACTTAGAAAGTGTATTACTTTTTTGTTTTAAATAAAGAAATGAAGAAAATCTCCAAACCTTGAAAGTCTTTACATATTAGTAGAGATAAGTGTCAGTCAGATTTTAACTAATCAACAAAAAAAAAGCATATAAAGAATTGTAAACTTGTGATGCTGAATTATACCACCACCAACTACTTACTTCAGTTCTCAAAATTATACTTCTAATATAACTCATAGCACTTTTCATCTCTGTACTTCAAAATGAATTACTACATAGAGGCTCTGAAAAGTAGGTTCTCTCAACAGTGCAGGAGGAAAGAGCAATCTTAGAAAATAAGATTCCAAATCAACCACAAAACCCATGTGTTAAAACTGAGCTCCATCTATATCATACCTTTTCCCATTCCCTCTGACCACTGTGTCCTTACACTTGGGTTCAGATGTCCTTTTATTCATCATGTGCTCTGTGTCAGAAGGGAGCATGGCTGTGCTGTTGGGCAGTCCTCCATCCACATAGCGGCTACATTCAGCCATGGTTGCAAATCTTTTTATTCATACGAAGAGACACTGATAAAAGAAATAAGTACAACATCCTATGTACTGAAGGGAATGGAGAATACAGTAGCTCAGTTTGACCCTGAAAGCTTCCCTCATGCCACTGAGGGTAAAGGTGGGAGCCCAGTGACTTCAGTTCCAATGCTCCTATCCAAAGGGGTTCGACTCTCCCACAGGAGCAGAGGGGATCCTAAAGACACACAGGACAGGGGCAGAAAACACACCAGCTTTGTGGAATGTGACATGTTCTCTGGATACTTTCAGACTTGAACTTTGCCCTGGAATAGTGTCCTGCTGGGAAATCCAATGAGTTCCAATACTCAGGGAACATGTTTCTAAAGTGTTAGGGATTTGGAAAAGAGACAACAGGGAGCAGAGCACTATTAGGACTGGTATGATGGGAAATACATTATGATGGAAGGCTGCAGGAGCATTACCTACCAAAAATACCAGAAAGAACTGCATAAATAAACACCTTTTTTTTCCTTGGGAGATGAAGGGACCTCATTGCTGCTCCTCATTGCACACTGAAAAAGCTGTGTAAAAAGTTTTTTCTTTTACAAATTCAAATGGCTTCAGAGTCACACTGAATTGTGTCTCTTTCCAGCAGTACCATAAAACTCCCTCAGACAGGTACTCAATGGCATAGTGTTTATAGTCTGTTTTTTTTTCCTCATTATTGGGAGGACGAGAAGCAGAGTAAGGGAGAAAATAATACTGCAGATTTATTATAAGGTTGGCTTGGCTTTATGATATGAATCTGGCTTGGTCAGAACTTGCAGGCCTCTGTTGTAGTTGTAAGAATCATTTAGAAAATCTGCTTACATTAATTTCTGTATCACCAGTGGCATTTCAAGTACATAGTGCTTACATACCTACTTAATTCTGCATAGAAGCAGAAGAAAAGCCCAAAACAAACACAACAACCCAGTTTGGAGCACAATGTACACACCTTTTCTGTCAATAGTATACCTGAGAAGTGTTTTTCAAATTACATGGATCTTCAATTTTGTATATAACAACTACAGCATCTTTGATTTATGCAAATCCTTACGTTTCAAGGGCATTTTTTCTGGAATGCCAGCATACAGTATCAATTACGTACTGCAAAACCAATCAAAAAGTGTGTGTAATAAACATGATAATAAAAATTAAGTTAGAAAGTCAACGCAACTAGGCTTCCTCTTGCTGAATTTTCAGCACTGACATACCTACCAAAATATTTCCAGAAGACTTTTTCTGAAAGAAAAAGCAAACAGTTTAACAAAGCTCCCCTTTGTTATCTTCACATGCTCATGACTTACAAAAGCTCCAACTTTTGCCATATTTTGACTGAATAGTATTTCTTCAGTTTTCTTTTAATTTTGTATGCTGAATCATACATCGAAACAGACCATTTGTAATGGGACTCTTTCCAATTGATATACTGGATCTATATTCCTTTATAGACTTCAATCCCTAATCAGATATTCACATCTTAAGTGCTTCACTGGATCTCTTTGTTACTGTTAAATGCACGGTCTTAAGTGAGGTCTGGTCTGCAAAGGTAGGAGTTTTATAGCAACCTAACATTCCTTACTCTCTCATGCCTAAGATCTACTTTTGCTAAACCACTTATAAATCAGATGTGCCAGGCAAGGAACTTAACCTCAACAATTTGATTAATCTTTGAATTGCAGTTGTTTCATGAATCAAACTTCAGAAGGAGCTTCCTCTTTCCAAATAATATTAGGAGGATAGAGTAATGCTTTAAAGTGCCTTCCTTTTCAATTTGGGATTTCAACATGCAAATTCAGCAGAAGCCCAAAGTGAGCAGCACAATGGAAACATGAAAAACATTTATTAGAAGCACTCCATTGTGCTTGGGGAGCATGGAAAGAGAATGAAAAGGTGAAGGAGAATTTAGTAGAGCACTGCACAGAAACAGAATTAGCAAGTCATAAGATATCACGTGGCTGTTAGCAGACTGAAAGGCTCTGTTGATTCGATTTATTCATTAGGGCTTTTCAGTAGTGTAGGTTATTAAGTGGGAGAAAGTGGGGTATATTACAACTTACTTTTTATATTTCCTTTCCTGGAGGATATTTAGCACCAGAGAAGCGGAGAAAGTTTCTGAAACTATCATGCCTCATAAATGGGAGAACGATAGGAAAAAGAGCGGCACCACCAGCTCTCTGAAGATGGATAGAAAGAGCAATGCTGGGAACAGGAAGTCAAGAAAGTTTCGCTCCATTTCAAGATCACTTATACTTTGTAATGCGAAAACCAGTGACGATGGGTCAAGTCCTGATGAGAAATACCCTGATCCCTTTGAGAGCTCTACCAGCTGGGGTCAGGAGGACTTTGATTGCTGTCCTAGAACACAAGTGCCATGCACATCAGAGACAGAAGACAGCCCACCTGATCCTCCACACGTGATCACCAGCACAGTCCAGTCCAAAGCTGCAGCAAACGAGAACTGCAACAACATGAGAAGAAAGTTACTCACTAAGGTAGGCAATTTGGTGCAGTATATTGTAATGTTTCCCACTGCAGCAGCTCCTAAATGTATTAATTCATACTTTGCAGGAGTACAAGATTGTACTTCTCTCTTTCAGCCCCTGTGAGCCTGCAGTGTTCCTGCTCTGTATAAACAGCATGAAAATGTATTAGCTTCCCTGCTGTTTTGCTGGAATCAGTGCCTGCTAGGCCACTCTCAGTGTATTCAGACTAGCACAGCTGGTGCTTTCTACCTGCAATATAGTATTCACTTCAAAATATAAAACTGCCACTATAGTAAAGTACATTTGTAAAGTGATGCCAGGAGGTCTCACAAACTGTTTAAGAATGAATTCATAATTA